AGGCTGAGATCAGAAACGCGATCACAGCCCTCAATCGTTTTTGTGCTGCTGGCATGGATTCCCTCCCACCTGCACCATATAGGGATGGAGGTGTGATCCTCCCTCAAAACACTGACCTCCCTATTCGAACATATCTGGAAGAAAGGTAGTGTTCCGGCTAACTGGAGTTAATAGATTATAGTGGCAATATAGGAGATGCGCAGTCGCACAGAAGTATTAGCCTAACGCCGGTGGTGGCAAAATTACTGGCCTCGATTCTCGTTCGTCGCTTCACTGTGGAACGGGAATCTCTGATTACGGAAGAGCAGGCAGGTTTCCACTCAGGACGTGGCTGTATAAACCATATATTTAGTTTACGGCAGGTGCTAGAGCAGCGCCACGCATATCGCATATCGCAGATCGACATACTTGCGCTGAAAGATGTTCCCACGAAATATCTGAACATCTTGCGTGCTCTATACTCGAAAACTACAGGCCGCGTCAAGGTCTACGGTGACCTGTCGGATAGCTTTTGACAACAAGTGGAGTTCGTCAGGGATGTCCAATTTCTCCCTTTTTGTTCAATTTCATCGTAGACTCCATCATGGAGTTTTCTCTTATGGCATCTCAAGATGTAAACGTGGAGGTCCTGCCTGGTGAAACCTTAGTTGATCTTGATTATGTGGACGATCTGCTTTCTAACGATGTTGCTTCGGCCTAATCAACCCTGAATAGCTTGTCTAGAGGGGTCCCATTATTTGCTGTGCACTTCGCACCTTCAAAGTGCAAAGGGTTGCTGCAGGACCACCAGCCACTTGATGACCCCTTGACGCTTGCTGACGAGGAACTCGAGGTGGTTGATCATTTCACTTACCTTGGCAGCTGCATCAGCAATGATGAGCGCATAGCAACTGACGTCAGCTCACGCATTGCAAAAGCCAGAGCTACCTTCTTGAACCTGCGGCATCTTTGGCGACAGAAGGGAGTTTCCCTCCGTCTGCAAGGCCGTGTATACAATGCCACAGTGAGAGCCGTTCTGCTCTATGGTAGTGAGACTTGGCTGCTTCGGTCTGAAGATTTGAGGCGCCTTCAAATCTTTGATCATCGTTATCTGAGAAGCATTGCTGGTGTCGAATGGCACCAGCGTGTTCGCAACGATGATGTGTGTAGGCGAGTACTAGGTGGTGATAATCATGCTAGCTCCCTAGAACAACAGATAGCACTGAATAAGTTGCGTTGGCTCTGGCACGTGCTACGTATGCCTGGTCACCGCTTACCTAAGAGGGTCTTGTTTAGTCTGCCAGGTGTAGGGTGGCGCAAGGCTCGAGGTGGACAGAAGTTGACTTGGCAGCGGGAAACGAAGTCACTGACGAGCAAACTGGGTGCCGTTAGTCCGTCTCGCCTTCCGGGCTGGAGTCCACGTGACTCGCCTTGTGCTTGGCTCGAGACTTTACAGGACACGGCTCGCAGCCGACACCAGTGGCGCGTCTGCTGCCATCTCCTAGTCGGATTGCTTGTTTGAAGTGTGTTTGGTGCTGAGTTATCTGCAGGGTAATGGCTGATTATGACACGTGGCAGTGAAAACCGCAAGGAAGCTGTCTCGCCGATATCGCGTTATCTTTGCACGACAGCCAGCTGCTTGTGACGGTATGTTGTCTACACAATTTGTAGGTGCCTTGACCCTGAATGTTTGCTTAGGGCATTAAGGTTTTCAAGCAAGTCCCCCTTCTTTCCCTATTATTATTCTTTATTTCTTAGGTCATCATGGTTGTGTGGCAGCGAAGCATCAGTTCAAATGGCTGATGTACTGCTGTTGTTGCTGGAAAACTATTCTCTGGAACGTGATCCACCCGAACCACCCAGCTGGCACCACCTGGAAGTCCGTCTAGCAATCACACAGACGAATTCAATTTTCATCTCAATTCACAGGCCCACAATTATTCATTCAACTCGTACCGCGTTCGCCATAAAGGTACTTGGAAGCACTCTGTTCTCGTGCCCGAACCACTGAGGAGACATATTGTGGACCGGCTTAATATCCTGCTATCTTGTTTGCGGCAGGAAGAGTATTAAGTGATTAGTGGAGGGAGAAGAGAAAATCGTCATGCACCTGCGTTATTTGGGCGAAATAATTTGTATTAGCCAGATACCTTGAGTTATCCATACACAATGGATGAGTGTCACTGTACATGCGATTAACCCAACTTCGTTCTGTTAATAGAATTGTATTGGGGATGGAAGAGTATTTGGATGTGGTTGACACAAAGTGGACCTTGACGATTTCTTTCGATCGGGTTGCTTTACTTGCAGTAAGGTACTTGATTCCGGTCTTAAAGCCTGTGCATATAGAACAAGTTAGTTAACTTCACAGTGCCGAATCTTACTCCCTTCTACCTGAAGATCACAGGAACCTTTTGCCATAGTTCGCATCGCTCATCACAGCTGGCATGATCGCTACTGAGTGCACCAACAATCATCTCTATTCTCTCTGCTGTATCTGTGATGGCTTAAGGTTTGATGTGGCTACTGCTAACCTGGCAGCGGGAAATGCCATCGCTCAGTTCTGTACTTCACGATGTTCATCCATTTGCCTTGCTATGCACACGATTCACTCCGCGCTTTTTCCGTGACAATGCATGATAAGCCTTGCGACCGGCTTTAGTGTCGCGCACGCTGTCTTTACATTTTCGAACTACCTATATAACATGCGTTGTTTGTGGCTGAAGTTCATTATGACGCGTAGCAGTGGTCGAGACATGGAAGCTTTCTCGCCGATACCGACAACCAACCATTTTCCATCGTTAATCTTCAGCTGCACCAATGTTCCCCTTTCTATCCTCTCACTACTGACAAATAGTAATTGGAGCTTGATAGTGTGGTTGATAAATCCTACTGCTGCTCACTGATACACAAATGTTAGGAGGAGGTTCCCTTAGGGAATGGATCAGTGAACCCTACACGAACTTTGATGAACATAACAATATGTGCTCACTTTCTTGGTCGTGATGAGTGATTGATCCGTGATCACAATCCATTGCTTATTACGCTGGAAGTAAGTGAGTAAGTAATGTATAGACATAATCCACTGCACTTATCATTAACTTGTGGACTATAT